AGAAAGATATTAGATCAGTGGTAATTCTTAAGACTTGGAGGTCAGGTTTCACTGGGACAGACTGGCTCTGATCCTCCTCTATACTCCACATGAAATGTCAAGCCTGTTCTGCTTCAGTTTTCTTTCCAATCTCTTCCTCCTTCTACTTTCCTTTTTTAGCAGCATATAAAATTAGAAAAAAAGAACACTACACTGTTCCAACTAAGTTAAGCCCATTTTAAAAAAAAGAAAGAAAGAAAAAGCTTTTGTTAACACCAAAGATAGGGAAGTCATTTTAGAGGGACACATATCCTGTCTCTGGGTCAGATATGACATTGGAATGTTATCCATCTTGGAGAACACACATAAAAGCCATGCCCTGGCTTAGTGTTCTGGACAGGTCTCCCTCAAGAGACAACCTGAGACACAGTAGAGAGAACCAACTTCTGGATGACACCAGAAGGAGCTATCTCCAAAAACAGCACACTTATGAAACCAAAACACTTTTAATCTAAGGAAAGATCTCTGACCTTTCCTCTTCTCCTAGGTCTGGTTCTCATTTATGTTGAGTAAGAAAAGTACTTTGATAATAAGTTGTAGACTTTAAAAGCTTTATTGTAAACTTATAGGGCTGACAAGATAGTTCAGTGGACTAAGCACCTACTTAGGCAAGCACAGAGACCAGGATTTGATCGCTAGCACCACATGCTGCACCGACTCCACCCCTAGCACACTGAGCTGGCCACTGAGACTGGGTATGATGGTGCACGCCTGTAATTCCAGTACTGGGGAGACTGAAAACAAGAGGATCACTATAAGTCCAAGCATAATGAGACCCTGCACCAAACACATGGAGGAAAAAAAAAAAACTGTGTACTTATAGCGCTGGGTAATCTTGCTCAGGCATTTAACCTTTATAGAACTAAGCTGTCACTCTTAAAGTAGAAGACAGGTTGTCCCAGCATCTCTTTGGTGAATCCCAATAGAAGCCAATGGCTGATAGAAACTTGGGCAGAGAGACAGCTAGATTCCTTTCTAGAGACTGATCTCTATTGTGTGGGCCAATAGAAACTGAGAACAACCACGGAGTCGTGGCCAATACTACTCTCTGGGAAATATCCAAAGATGCTTGGGTGGAAACTGGCTCCTGACCACTGAAAACTCTCCACTTACCTTCACACTAACTTCTCTGCTAGTAAACTAGGAATTCTCCCCTAAACTTTTCAGTTGCAATTTACACTTCATAGCAGCTAGCAGAAAAATGATTCACATTTGTGCCTGACTTGAGATAAGAATAAAAAAGAGATTTTAGTTTTAACTAATGTGCCTTTACCAACATGTAAAATATGATTGTTAGATATATTTATTATACATTTATATTTAACCTCTATTATTACTCTTCAAATTCATTCTTCAATTTTAGAAAATACAAACTCATCCCACATATCTTTCAGGTTGGGAGTTTCTTTCCCTGATGTCCATATAACCCCAAGGTTCTTGGTCTCTCTAGCTATACTAATGTACACAGTGGAGATACACTATGATTCTATAAGTTTAACCTGTGAGCTTCAAAATTTAAATAAAACATAGTCTTGTCCTGTTGCTATGAAAGGGTGTATAGGTGACTAGGTAGAGAACACAAGTGTTTGGAGACTTCGTTGCCCTAGTGCACAGGACTAAATTCCTACAAAGATTGTTCTCTCTGTCTCTAGAGGTGATCAATTGCTTTTGTACCTGGGAAGTGCTTTACTTCCATCTCACCTTCCATATATGCCCTCTTCCAAAAAATAAAAAGCAACAGTTCATTATAAAGTTATGTTTCCTCCTTTAGATATTCTTATCACCAGAATAATTGTAACTTATGCTTATAAATGTCCCATGGTTCTCATGTTTCCCACCTTAGAACCATTTCATCTCATAATTTTGCTCTATAAAATCCCTAGAAAAGGCAGGGTCCTTGGCAACTCACTCAGGTCTCCTTTCTGAAGCTTCCTTTCTCTCAATAAATATGTTCTGTTCTTAACCTCTATTGCTCTTCAACTTCATTCTTTGATTTTAGAAAACACAAACTCATCCCATGTCCCTTTCAGGATGGGAGTTTCTCTCCCCAGTGTCAATATAACCCTACCAATGTTCTTGGTCTCTCTAGCTATACTAATGTACTACACTTGATCTTAGCCAAAAGGCCGAGAAGCGATTATACTAATGTAAACAGTGGAGATATACTATGATTCTATAGAAAACACTTTATGTAACCTTTAAGAAATGCATTTGTAGCTGGCCGTGGTTGTAATCCCAGTACTCAAGACACTGAGGCAGAAAGATCACAAGTTTGAGGCCAGCCTGGACTACACAGTGACCACAAGGTCACAGAGGACTATGGAGTGAGACCCCCATCTCAAAAACCAAAAGAGGCCGGGGAGACCTCAGCTCAGTGGTATAAGCGGCTGTCTAGTAAGTGCAAGGTGCCGAGTTCGATCTCCAGTACCAAAATAAATACATACATACATACATACATACATACATACGAGGGATGGGAAGATAGCAGTCTAAGTGCCTGCCTGGCTAACGCAAGGACCTGCATTCGATCCCTGGCACCACATGCTGCACCAGTCCCATGCCAAGCTGGCTACTAAAACTGGGACTGGTGGCGCACTGGGGAGGCTGAGACAGGAGGATCACTATGAGTCCAAGTTACATAGTGAGACCCTATATCAAACAAATCTTTAAAGAAAAGAGAAAGAAAGAAGAGAGAAGAAAAAAGAGAAAAAGAGAAACAGAATCTGCTAGCTAGCTAGTGACACACATCTGTGATCCTGGGACTCCAGAAGCTAAGATAGGAGGACTGACAAGAGTTTGAGGCTAGCTTGGGCTACAAAGCCAAGAGCCTGTCTCCAAAAATACTTTTAAATTAAAAAACAACAACAACAAAAAAAAAGTATATAAAATTTAAGTTCAGAAAGTGCACATGACTTAATGAAGATGGTGTGTGTGATTTCTAAAGAGAGAAAAGTGGAAAAAAGACAAGGAAAAAAAGATCTTGAAAAAGTACCCCTGGGAGCCCCTACAATCATGGGGAACCTCAGAGGCATCTGCTACAGGCAGTGGCCCTCCCAGTAGGAGTCAGAGAAGGCGCACCTGTTTTTACAAGACAACGGTCAGAAACAACTGATTCTCATCCCCCACCTGACATTAGCCAGGAGTGACCCTGGCTCAGTCACATCCCTTCTGGGCCTGTTTACTGACTGCACTCAGGATAAAGGAACAAATGGAAGCAGATTCTTTGTCATCTAGGGAATAAGCTCACATCACAACAGAGGCCTCCCAGCCTGGACAGTAGACCATGCTTGTTGAAACCACGATGGCCAGACCTTCCTTTTTTTTTTTCTTTTTTCCCGGAACCAGGGATTGGACTCAGGCCCTAGTGAGCCATCTCCCTGGCCCCAAGACCTTCCCTTTACAACCAGCAAAACTGAGAGATGTGGCCCTGCAGGCCAGTTCTCATTCCCATTGTTTAATGGGTTCAAAAAGTCACCTCTGGGCATCCATTTTCTTCCTCATAAACAAAACAGAGGGTAGACAACCTACCAGCCCCATTTCACAGGACCAAGAAAAATAAGAGAGATAGTGGTTGCCAAATACTGTCAAGTTATAAGGGAATCAACACACTAAAGCTGACAGACACCTCATAGGTGGTAAGGGGAGATGATACCATTGTCTCACTGATAGCAGGACAGCTATAGGATTATAAGCCTCTGTCTCAGTTACTGTGTTCTCCTTGCTGGGACAAATACCTGATACCCAATATGAAGGAAGGAAAGGTTTATTTAGCTCACAGTCATTGGAGGTTTCAGTTCATACTCACCTGGCTCCCAGGCAGAGTGGCACATGGCAAAGACTGGCCATTCATGGCAGTGGCAAAGAGCAAGAGCAAATGGGAGTAGCAGCAACAACGGCAACAGACAGCAAATCTGTCTCCTTGCATTCCGGCTATCTGTCCCAGGCTGGGTATAGTACTCATACCCATAATTCCAGTAGATCATGAGTTAATCACAAATTCTAGAAGTCCACCCCATGACTACATGAGACTTTGGGGGGACAAACAGACAAAAACTGTAACAGTCTCCCATTCTAGACAGAAGTTACAGGTGACCTGTAACTGTGAAACCAATCATGCTACACCAGGTGACAATAGTCTCTAAGCAGCCATACCTCGCCCTTACCCTCTAGGCCATATCTCCTTCCACATAGCAGCAATGCAATAAAAGGCAGGTGCTATCACTGGTAGCACAGGCAGATTTCTAACCTTAAAACAGCAGGGTCCACACACCAACCCTCCAAAGTTTTCAGAAAAGAAAAAGGTGCTTATTATAACAGCATATAAGCAGAACTAAAATATAGAGATGAGCAGGTTCCTGAGCAAAGATGGCAGGCTAATGACCAGAGCACCCAATATCCTTTTTTGGTTTGTTTTTTTGATCACTTCTCAACATTTTGGCTAAGATTAAATGTCTTAGTTTTTTGAGACAGGGTCTAGTTTTGTATTTCAGACTGGCCTCAAACTCACAACAATCCTTCGGCCTCAGCTTCCCAAGGACTGCAATGACAAGCAAGCTCCACCACACCAACTCCCAATAGCCTTTATAGAGTTTTAGGCAGGCTAAATGAAAGCTGCTACACAACACTGTGATTATTATGAACAATATCAAACATGTACTTAAATAAATGTGAGAAGTTAGATATTTCATGATGCTTTGTTTTTTAAACCACAAATAAACATAAGGAAATGTTTCAACTCAAGGCCAGGCCTTCTAGGTGAGCCTCTTCATATCTATTCTTGTACTGCTAAGCTAAGGAAAGCCAGACATCAGGTGGGCCAGCAACAAAAGCACTGACGAATGGGAGCCCAGTTGATGTCAAAGAAATGCATCTCAATATCATAAACACTTAGGATGTTTCACAGCCAGCTGTGCTAAGGAAGACTACATAGTGTTAATATTCCTGACTCCGGAAATCTCTACCTGGTGGGTCTTGGCAAATATAACAGGTGTATTTCTCAGGCACATTTTCTTCCAGTAATCCCATGCAGACCCCATGCTGCCAGCACTGGCACTCTTCACACTGTTAGAATTAAAGCAACAAAAATTAAACTCAGAAAATATCCTGCATCTATAAGTTAAAACTTTGTGTGTGTGTGCGCGCGCGCGTGCGCGTGTGTGTGTGCATGTGCATGCACGCACGTGTTGGAAGAGAGGGAAGAGCAGTCCTTGCAGACTCTACTAAAATGAGCTGCAACCGCACATCTGAGGTCATTGACCACATGGGGTGCTATATTTACATTAATAAGTTAAAAATCAGTTCCTAAATCCCATGAGCCACATCTGAAATGCCCAACAGCTACCTGAGGTTAGCAGCTATTGTAGCAGACAGCACAGCATGAAGGACATTCAAATGTACTGAACAGTGCCAATCTCAGAATGAGATTCTAGAGGTTTTCACTATCCTAGTCACACTATGAATGAAAGTTGTTCAAATCCTTAGACAAAGACTAACTTGAAATAACAAAAGGCTGAACTTGACTTCTGGCTGAGGCATTCATTCACTGTGTAACTTTGCACAGGTCACTCTACTTGCTTCTCTACTGCAAAATAGAATACTATTCCTACCAATCCATGAGCTGTCTGAAGCCACTATAGAGCTGGGCACAGAGCTCTGGACAAGCCAGTTTACTTGGAATCCCCTGAAGTGATCATGAGTTAGCACTTTGCATTTGTTCTCACTAAGCCTTACCAAAGGTCACACAGCTAATAAGAGACAATGGTGAATCAGAACATGAGCCTGGATAATTACAACTAGCTCTTGTGGCACCTAGGCTCAACTGCCTTCCTACGTATTAGGGAGTAAGCATAGAGGACAGAAAGCATAGGGGACAGAAGAGAGTGAAGAAGTGGACAATGAGGGTGGCACTTTAGTGATATTTTGATAGCTAGATATAGCAAGTCTAAAAGACAGGTTCCCAAAGATGCTTAGGACACTTCAAGCAATTCCAGTCCAAGCCCCCAAACCTTAATACCCAAATAATAGACATTGGAAGTGGACTATGAGCTTCCTAACATTATCTTGATGGGGGTCGGAGGGTCATCAGTCTTGCAACAAGGCACTAGAAATCAAGCTCAAACATTCACTAGGTGTCTCACAGGTTCACAGCACCAAGGCTTCCCTGGCTGAGCTTGAATTCTGGCTGAGGCATTCATTAACTGTGTAATTTTGCACAGGTCACGCTACTTTGGTCTTGTTTCTCTATTGCAAAATGGGATACCATTCCTGCCAATCCATGAGCTGTCTGAAGATAAACAGAAAGCTTCCATGAAGCTAAATGACCAAGGCAGATCTAAAAGATTTCAGATAAGATCTGTTCCAGAAGCTATAATTTACCAATGAGAAAGCTAAAGTTCAGAGAAGAGAAGCAAACTGGGCAAGACAATAGAGGCAGTGAGCAGCAGAAAACAGACTACTAATTAAGAATAAAATTTTGTTTCGATAATGACTTTGTCTTGAGAACTAGAACTTACCAAAGATGAATCAGGGCCAGGGATATAGCTCAGTGGCACAAGCACCTGCTTTACAAGTGCAAGGTCCTGAGTTCGATTCCTGATACCCACAAAACAAAAGAAAATAAAACAGAAACCAACGATCAATCAAATACAGCTAAGTTTCAAAATGCACAATGACAGCTTTTTTCATGTGGGTCTAGCTATATACATTATTCACTTTTAAAAGTTTACATTCAGGCTGGGCATGGTGGCGCAACCTATAATCCCAGCATTTGGGAGGTAGTGTCCAAGGATCACTGCAGGTTCCACTGCAGGTTCAAGGCCAGCCTGGGCTACACAGCAAGCTCAATAAAAATAACAAATTTAAAACAGATCTTTGAATCACAGTGCCTCTCCTGCCCCAGCCTCCCAAGTGCTGGGATTCCAAGTGTGTGCCTCACACGCAGATCTCTATAAAAACAATTTTTAAGTATTACGTGAAGAGCAGAGATAAAGTCATGGCATAGTGCATTCCCCAGAGGGACAGTAAGAGTAAACACTATAAGGAATCATTTCTCCTTGGCTAATATACAAAAATATTGTAGCCCCCAAATAAATTAATAGCTTTGCGGCTAGGCAGATTTCTAAAACAAACAGCCAAGGAATATGTGAAAAGAAAAAGCAATAAGACTATACTAGCCCTACCAGCTATATTAAAATTATAAAAGTGTAACAATTAAAATTATATAAGCAAATACATAGACAGATGACTCAAAGGAAAAGAATGTAGAAGAGACCAAATACATATAAAATGAAGTAAATATAGGCAGCACTTCAAACAGTGGAGCATGGAATTAGGACAACTGGTAGACTAAATATTTATGTTGTTTAAAAAAATTAATGAACCTTGGGGCTGGGGAGATGACTCAGTGGAACACATGCTTCCCTGGCAAGCGCAAGGGTTTGAGTTCAATTCCTGGTTCCACAAAAAAAAATTAATGAACCTTCAGAAAAACTAGAAGAAATGGTAAGAGATGCTGTTGCGCTTCAATGTTTGTTTCTACAACGCTAGGAACTGAACACAGGGCTTCACATTCACTAGGCAAATGCTTTGGCAGGTGCTCTATTCTTGAGCAACAAGCTCAGTCCCAGGTGTCAAAGACTTTATTAAAGAAAAGTTAAAAAAAAAAAAAAAAAGTTTTGGGTTTTTTTGTTTTGTTTTGTTTTGTTTTTTACTTACTCAGGTTGCCTCAAGGGCAGGTCTGGTAAGGTATGTGGAGCTGAGGATCGAACCGTGGTCATCTGCATCTGACTGGGTTTGCCCAAGCAGGCGCTTAAACAAATGAACTAACCCACAAGCTCCTGTATTTTTTTTTTTTTAATTTGTTATATTTGACCTCATAAAAAACAAGCAAAACATCTGTAAGACATTAAAAAGATATAATTAAAAAGTGCCAAATATATCTGTAACTATTAAGTCAGCCCATACAAAAGCTCTATAAAAAACTTCTTTAGCCAAGTGTGCTGGTGCAGGCCTGTAATCGAAGCACTCTGGGAAGATAATGCAGGAGGACTTCCAAGTTCAAACCAGTCTGGGCAACTTAGTAACTTAGTGTAATCAACTACCTTAATACACACACACACACACACACACACACACACACACACACACACACAGAAACAAGGCAAAAGAGGGAAGAGGAGGAGAGGGAAGAAGGGGATAAGGAAGGAAAGAAGGGAAAGAAAAAGAAGAAGAGGTACAGACAGAAGAAAGGAATGGAGGGAGGGAGGAAAGCAAAGAGGGAAGGAGGGAGGGAGGGAGGGAGAGACATGGTGGGGGCACCTCTGTAATCTTAGCTCTTGGGAAGCTGAGTTCAAGGCCAGCCTGGGCTATACAGTGAGTTGAAGGCCAGCTTGAATTACATACTAAATCCTATCTCAAAAAAACTCAAGAGGGCTGGCCAAATGGCTGAGTGGATTAAAGTGCCTGCAATCAGGTGCAGGGGCCAGGTGTTTGATCCCCCAGACAACCGTGCTAGCCCTGCTCCCGGGGTGCGCTGACTGGGCATGTTGGCAAGTGCCTGTAATCCCAGCTCTTAAGAGGCTGTAAACAAGCGGATCATGGGGCTGAGGTGATAGTTCAGTAGAATAAGAGCTTGCCTGGCAAGCCCAAGGGCCTGAATTCAAATCCCCGGTTCTTCCAAAAAAAAAACCAAAAAACAAAAAAGCAGGTGGATCTCAAGTCTGATCTAGTAGTGAGACCCTAAATACCCTGTAGACCCTTCCCCTAAAATACAAAATAAATAAACAAACAAACACAAGAAAAAGCTGGGCATAGTGGCACACCTGTAACACCAGCACTCAGGAGGCTGAGGCAGGATGACTGATAAGGCTTTGAGGTCAGCTTGAGCTCTATAGTGAGTTCAAGGGCAGTCTGGAATACATAGAAAGACTGTGTCTCAAAAAACAAACAAACAAACAAAAATTTGATTAGTAGCTCACTATAATCCAAGTTTAAAAAAAAAAAAAAAAAACAGGGCAAGGAATATAACTCAGTAATAGTATCTTGGGTTTCATCCCCTACACAAATTAATAAGAAAATGGCCCACTCTTAACAGAAAAATGGATAAAGGATACAAAGAGACTAGTCAAGGTAAAATGTTAATAACCCAGCAGATCAAAGCGCCAGTTTTGGCAGACAAGCGGCTGGATTTCGATCCCAGACCTGCCATGCCAGCCCTGCCCCCAGGGTACGCTGAGACAGCAATTGAGACTGGGCATGGTGGCACATCCCTGTAATCCCAGTACTTGGGAGGCTGTAAACAAGAGGATCACTACAAGTCCACTACAAGTCCAATCTACTCAGTAAGACCCTGTACACCACCCTGTTCTAAAATAAAAAAATAAAAAAAAAGTTAATTGCTAAATAAAACTATTCAAGTCAACTATTAAAAATTAGGGCTGGCCAGATAGCTCAAGACACTAAAGCACCTGCTTAGGCAAAGTGCAGCAGCAGGGGTTTGATCCCTGCATGCCCTACCAGCCCTCCCCCCAGGGTGCACTGAGCCGGTGACTAAGACTGGGCATGGTGGCCAGCTCTTGGGAGGCTGAAAATAGGAGAATCACTAGGAATCTGATCTGTGTGGTGAGACCCTATAGACCCTGTACTAAATACAAAAAAATTTAAAAAAAAAAGTAAACTGACATATGTTAATGTGAAATAACTGAGTGTGTTATATATCTCTAACTCCCAACACTCCAGAGGATAGGGCAGAAAGATTGCTGTGAGTTCAAGGCCAGTCTGCACTACATATTAAGACCCTTTTTCACACCAACCAACCAACAACAATAATAAAATGGGCAGGGTGGGGATACAGCTCAGCATATAGTGCCTGTCTGGCAAGTTCAAGGTCATGAATTTGAGTCCTGGTACCAAGACAGATAAACCAATCAATCAATCATTCAATCAATAGACAAATGCTGGGCATGGTGGATGGCACACACCACTAACGCCAACACTCTGGGCAGTTACAGCAGAAAGACTGCAATTTCAAGCCAGCCTGGGAAATTTACCAATTTGTTTATCTTGACATGGTAGTGCATAGCTGTAATTCCAGCACTCAGGAAGCTGAGGCAGGTGCAAGGCCAGCCTGAACTATACAGCACCCTGTCTCAAAAAATCCGAAAGTAAAAAAATAAAAACAACTCCCCCATAAAATAAAATCAGACATAAATTCAACTATATATTAAACCAAAATACTAAAGTAAATTTCAAAACCTGAAGCCATACTGAACTACAGCACTATTAGGACAAGAAAATTGTATCTTAACACAGAAAGAAAGCGTGGGGAGGGGGGTGTTTCATCTCATAAACTCCATAGACCAGGTAAACTCTTGGCCACCCCTTCTGTCCACAACAGATGTAGGCTCTAGGCAGCCTTTCTATAAAGTGTGAAATTGCCCAAACCTCTCAGCCTCAACTCTAGACCAGATGATTAGAACAAGGGTGGGCATCTGGCCCAGGAAAACCTCTCTGCCTCCCCTGAGCAGGGCTGGAATTCTACGCTCAGGAATAAAGAACTGGAACTGAGATTCCAAGCTCAAGCTACCTAGTCTCTTGAACACAAAAAGGCAAAACAGAAGATAACAAGGGGAATATGTGACCATTTCACATTTCCTAAGAAAATAAATAAACAGTAACATTTAAAAAAAAGAAAAAAGAAACTGAACTGACTCTGAAAAGAAGCAGGAAATAGCATGAGCAAGGCTTTGCACTCCTAGACCCTGTCTACTTTCTCACCAATGTTTGTACTTGCTCCTAAAGAATGCTAACTGATAAGCAGGACTTTCTTTAAAAAACCCTCAGGTTTCTTGGCCAGCTGGGCAGCTCCAAGACACCCAGGGTGTTTATGACAGTCCTTAGAGTCATCAGACAGCAGCCGTCTTAGCAAGAACAGCAAATAGCAGAAGAAGAGCCAGGGCAAGCAAGGGTCCAGTGATCTCCGTGAGTCAGGAGGGAAGTCCCACCCCATAGGAACATCCCAAGGAGAAAGATGACATGTCAGGAAAACAACAGGCAGCAAAGAAGTTATAAAACCTGCCTCCATTTTTTTTAGGCCACATAGAAAATTTGGCTCAAAGAGAAGATGATGGTACCTACAGCTAAACTACCACCTCAAAATCTGAGTCCCTGTTGGCCTCACTGTGTGACCATTGGCAAAGCAGGCTTCAAATGAACAGAGGACAAGATGTGTAATCAATTCCTCAAAGCCTCTCTTATTCTACAGATGGGCCATTTAGAATTTTCTGAAATTCCCAGAAAATCAAACCAAAAGCAAACTCAGTCTGCTGCTATTGGTACCAAATATCTAAGGCTTTGGATGCAACTTACCACTGTTACTGGCTTCAATCTTCTCTCCAAAAACCAGTGGGGTTTTTTGTTTGTTTTGCTTCTTTAGACCTGTATTCTGAAAGCTCTACCTACCTGAATCATGAAATCGTTTTCCTCCTGGACTTCACAGATGCAACGAACCACCTCAAAATCATAGTGGTCCTCTCCATCAAGTTCCTCATCTGGGTTCGTGGTCACATCAACATCCTGACCATACTCCTCATCACTCCAAAGGAAGCTCTCAGAAGAAGACTCACTCAAATTATCCTCCTCTGGAAGGAGAAGGAAACCAAAAGTTACTATTTTAAACAGCACAAAATTTATAAAACTCTAGTGTCCAGAGTGAAAAATGACTCCATGATCCATTCCTCAAGGAGCTGTTCAGGGCTGGGAAATGCAGGCTCCCTGGGTTTGTCATTAGTAACAGCCTGGAACATGAAGCCCAAGGCCAGTGAGTGCTCAAGGGCACAGGGCTTGTTGGCAAATGAGCAGCGAGTTGCAGTGAGTCAGTGCAGTCCCTCACCCATGGCACTCAACATGCTGCTCAGCCTTCCTCATCCAGCCAGGATCTGGTTTGCTGTCAATCTGTGTCTATAGCTATCTTTCAAGCTCTATGAACAGTGAAATATCCCAGGGACAATCAGAACCAGGGTATCACCCCTCCCCACCTAGGACAAGGACATATTTCCTTACCAGATGCTTTTGATTTCCCTTTATAGTTGCCAGATTCTGAGCCATGGAGCTGTGGGCCCATATGGACCACAGGCTTGTGTGAGGACCCACACCTGGTGACAGCAAATGGCTTGGGTGGCGATGGTTCTAGGGAAGTGTCACTGATCTCCTCACTGCAGGGGCATTCTGGAAGAATGGCAGGCATCATCAGGCATTCCAGAATTAACCTCATTCAACCAAGTCTGTTGCTCAAAGAGCACAAAGGCTCGGGGACAGTTCAATCACAAAGAGGTATGGAAGGCAGATTTAAGGATTCATACTTTTAGCCACCTCTGAGAATCCTAAACCCAAATTCTTCCTCCTTCTGTCACCCTTTCCCTCTTTCCTGATAACACTGTTTTTCTAAGCCAAAGTTACACTAAGAATAAATCATGGCATCTCTTTAACTCCCTCGGTTGGATAACAGATTTTCTGAAATACTATTGTGTAGGTAAACTAATGCTACTCAAGAAGTGAATCCTGGGCTGGGCATGGTGGTGCAGCCTGTAATCCCAGTACTCAGGAGGCTAAGGCAAGAGGATTATTGCAAGTTCAAGACCAGCCTGGGCCACAAAGTGTGTTCAAGGCCAGCCTGAACAGTCATGTGCGTGAACAAAAATAGGGCAAAAATAGTCACTCATCTGCACACCCTCTTGGACTATAATAACGCCTTCATAAATACCAGCTGGATCTTCTAAGACCTGAGGGAGTGTCTCACCCCAAAACTCTACCAGAGCCCAGACTAGGTGGTTGCATACAAGCCCTGAGAGAAGCCTTCTGATCTTTATTCTCCTCAGTGCAGCTCAGAGGCACCAGCAGAAGAAGCCACCCTCCCCCATCTAGGAAAAGGAAACTCAAGGGGAAGAAAAAAAAAGAAAGAAAAAAATCACCAGGTTTGGTTTTCTTTTTCTTTTTCTTCTTCTTCTTTGGTTTCACTCTCACAAACTCTTTGAACTTTTTCTCTTTATTCTTTTCTTTGTCTTTTGCAGCTAGAATTAAAAGTTGAAGTGTTAGCATTTTAACATTTTCTTTTCAATGCTCATATGTTTATTCTTTTAGTTGTTCATTATGGGATTTTTTGGTTCCAGAAATCAAACTCTGAACCTGATGCCTGCCAGGCAGGTGCTATGCCACTGAGCTCTCTCCAGAGCCTGAGATGTTTATTCTTAATAATGAAGCAGGTTCAATGAGAAGATACAGGTGGTAGTGTGCCTGGAAGGGCACCCCCTTGCCATTGGCAGCTTTGTGGGGCACTGCCACAGCAGCACCACTCAGCCTTCAGCTCTGGCAGACACTGGCTGCTACCTGGCATTACAAATAAATTTTGGTAGATCACACCATACTCAGGACTAGGATATGGATTGGGCACCTCGATTTTTGTCTCATTTTATTTTTGTATTTTAATAAAGATCTACAGGGTCTACACAGATCAGACTCGTAGTGATCTGCCTGTGTTCAGCCTCCCAAGAGTGGGGCTTACAGGGGCATGCCACCACACTCAGTCTCAATCATTCTCAGCTCACCCTGGGGGCAGCGCCTAAGTAGGTGCTGTAATCGCTGAGCTACCTGGCCAGCCCTTCATTTTTTTTTTTTTTTTAAATTGAGGTGCAATGCATGTAACAAAATGCATCACTTTAATTTTTTGTTGTTGTTGTTTTTGAGACGGTCTTGCTATGTAGTTCAGGCTGGCCTTGAGCTCACTATGTGGACTAGGCTGGCCTCAAACTTGGTGGCAATCCTCCTACTTCAGCCTCCAGAGTCCTGAGATTACAGGTGTCCACCACACTCAGCTCATTTCTTTCAAAAGAACAATTCATACCTTCTCTAGTGCTGGAATCAAACACCGGCCTCAGACACATCAATCACCCAAAGCTACATTCCCAGCTCTTATATTCTGAGACAAGATCTCACTAAACTGCCCAGGCTAGTCTCAAATTTGTGATCCTCTGGTCTCAGCCTCCAGAATAACTGGGATGACAGGTGTATAGCATCACACCCACCTCTCCCAGTTGTTTACAGCAAAATTCCTTATCTGTATTCCCTTTCCAAGCCTCCCTTCACTGTTGCTGTAAACTTCACTCAACCATTCCCACTTACTGTTCTACTGAGGCAAGTTTTCAAAGTGAAAGGTCTCACCATGGAAAAATTCAGTTGTTCCTTCTTTTACCTTACCAATATATGTGCAAAAACTTATCACATCTCACTTTAAAATGTCAACAAGAAGCATACACATATCTATAGCCTAGCCATTCTATCCAGAGATGTTCAGTCAAGAGAAGGCAGTGGTCCAGACACAGGCTGAGAAAGGATCAAAGAAGCTCTAGTTATAATCACGCAAATGTCCTTCAGTAGATGAATGAACAAATAAGTAGATGAAAGAAGACAAACTCGTGCCACATAATGAGAAGCAAGACATCCTCTCAAAAAAGCTCCCCACCCCTTATTTTGGTTGTGCTGGGGACTAAACTCAGCCCTCACGCATGCTAGCTAGGCAAGTGTTCAATTCCATTGAACTGCATCTCCAGATCCCAGCTGTCTCTATTTTTCTTAATAGTAACAATAAAAACCTGGAATATGAGATCAAGACATAGCAAGTATTGCTGGGCATTAAGCCCAGACATTTCTGTGGCCTTATCTAACAACAATCTTCTTTCACTTTACATTTTATACAATAGCATTCTCTCCATTAAGCAATCCAAGAGTCAACATAAGAGAGAGGAGGGGTGGGGCAGTTCATCTACACAGGGATGCACTCCTAAAGACTCTACCGAATTTAGACTCACCTAACCCATTCCTGACAGCTTCATAAAACCACGTATAATGAACACACACAGGTCTACCAGTGTTCTATTAACCTTTTGCCCTCTTACTGAATTACTTTTATACTTACTGGCTGGGTTCTAAAGCTTTCCTTCTTTTCATTACATACTTGTCATATATGCACCATATGGAATTCATACCTGCACATTATGTCTTAACTCTTTTCTTACTCCCGCCCCTTCCTACCTTCAACAGTTCTTCCCCTCATTTACACCAGCTTTGTTTGCATTTCCCTTCCTTCTTTTTTCCTTTTCCCTTCTTTCCCTCCCTCTCAACTCTCTCCTCCCCACTTGAACAATTCGTCCTACTTCCCAATACCTATCCTCCATTACCATGCATATTTACCCTTTAGGTTCCTCACATAACAGACAGCATGCAATTTTTAAATTTGTGTTTCTTCTCAGATGAGGAAATACAAATGGCAAATAAACACATAAAAATGTTCAACACCATTAGTCAGTGAATAAATGCAAATTTAAACAACACTGAGATTCCATCTCACCCCAGAAACAATGGAATGAGGGAAAGAATATATATATATTACACACACACACACACACACACACACACACACACACACACGACTGCACTGCTGATTTCTATTGGTTTATTGAAAGGAACAGTTAAGTGTTTTTTTTTTTTTAATTTTTAGACTAATTTTGTATGCATACATCTGGTAATATGAACAACTAATTTGAAGACAACAATGTACAATATAAAAACCATTACTGAATTCCTATCATCTTGTTTTGTGAAATTTTGTATCATTTCTAATTTTTATTATTTTTTTCTCTTTAAAAATTTTTAAAAATAAGCTTGTTTGTCTTATTTCACTTAAAATTATGGTCTCAAGATGCATGCATTTCTCTACAAATGACTCAATCTTATCTTTCTTCTGGCAACATAGTGCTCCACTACATATAAATATATTTTCCTTATCCACTCTTCTGTCAATGGGCATTTGGACTGTTTCCAAAATTTAACTATTTTACTTTGCGCTGACATAAACACAGATGTGCATAATCACTAGTAAGATGCTTTAAACTTTCAGAAAGATCCCTAAAAGGATTGGGTCAAATGGAACCTCTAGATTTAAGTGTTTTCGTCTTTTGTTTTATTGAATACAAGGTCTCACTACACATTTCAGACTCATAGTGCTCCTCCTTTATCAGCCTCCCCCGTGCTGGGATTACAGGCATGTACATCCAGCACGATGCTCAGGGCCAACACAGCATGCGGTACTGGGGATCAAACTCGGGTCCTTAAGCTTGCCAGGCAATACTTAGACCACTGACCTATCTCCCAGCCCCAGTTTCAGTTTTTTGAGGAATTTCCACACTGACTTCCAGAGTACTTGTCTACACTCCTACCAACAGTTGAAAAGGGTTCCTTTTTTTTTGGCGGAACCAGGGATTGAACTCAGGCCCTTGCGCTTGCCAGGGAAGCGCTTATTCCATTGAGCCATCTCCCCAGCCCCAAAAGGGTTCCTTTTTCCCCACACTCTGATCAGTATTTCTTACTGATTTATTCATGACAGCCATTCTTTTTTTTTCTTTTTTCTGGAACCAGGGATTAAACAGCCCTTGCACTTGCCAGGGAAGCGCTTATTTTACTGAGCCATCTCCCTAGCCCTGATAGCCACTCTTTCTGGCAGTGGAATCTTACAGTTGTTTTTTTTTGTTGTTGTTGTTTGTATTTTAGGGAGGGGCCTATAGTATGTTCAGGGTCTCACTACTAGATCAGACTCATAGTAATCCACCTGTTTACAGCTTCCCAAGAGCTGGGATTACAGGCATGCACCACCATGCCCAGTCTCAACCACTGTCTCAGCATGCACCAGGGCAGGGCCAGACGAGTTGTTTTAATTTGACCAGTGATAAACCTTTTTACATGTGTTTATTTGACGTTTGTACTCCTTTATCTGGGAAGTATGTATTCATTTCAGATGCCCATCTTCGGATTACATCTTTAAATCTGGGGAGGGGTCTGATTTTTTGAGTCCTTTATATATTCTAGATGTTAGTACTTTGAGGAGTAGCTGATAAAACTTTTTTCCCACTCTGGGTTGTCTCTTCACTCTGATGGTTTCTTTTGCTGTATAGTTCTCCTAGCTTTAAAATCACATAGGTGAAGAATTTTCTCAATATCATGGGATTTATTTGAGACAGGGTTTTAATATTAATTTAATTATTATTGAGACAGGGTTTGAGACAAAGTTCGGACAGGCCTTGAACTCTCTGGGATCCTCCTGCCTTAGCCTCCCAAATCCTAGGATTATGGACTACCACACCAGACTTGCACTTAAAATTTTGTACATAAGATTTTTGATATATAATTTCAAATTAGCAAATTTCGATTTTTCACAAAATATAGCTGAAATATGTCAGGCATTGTAACATATACCTATAATTCTAGCATTCAGGAGGCTGAGGCAGGAGGGTCACTTGGACTTTGAGGCCAGCCTGAGCTACACTGTGAAATCCTGTGTCAAAGACACAAAGTATCTAATGTAATGACACACACCTATAATCCAAGCATTTGGGAGGCTGAGGGAGGAAGATCAGATTACTGCTGAGTTCAAAGGACAGCCTAGCTACTACCAAGTGAGATCAAGACAAGCCTGAACTATGTGGTATAAGACTCTATCCCTGGGCTGGGGAGATAGCTCAGCAGTCTAAGTGCCTGCCTGGCAAGTGCAAGGACAGGGTTCAATCCCTGGTACAGCATGCAGAGATGGTCCTGGAATCCTGGGGCACACCATGGTAGCCCCAAAACTAGGTGTGATGGCGCACACCTGTAATCCAAGCTCTGGGGAGGCAGAGACTGGAGGATCACTACAAGCCTGAGCAGCCTAGTGAGACACTGTACCAATAATTTTTAAAAAACAAAAAAATATCATTTCAACATGAAATCCACATTAAAAATTGAGTTTTTAAAACAAAACAAAAAAATACCAGCCAACCCTTAACATTATTCTCACTTTAGAGAGGAAAATGAGACTTCACAATCATACACATCGAAGGGTGTAATGATGCACGCCTCTAATCCCATTCAAGAGGCGGAGGCAAAAGGTCAGTGCAAATTGAAGATCATCCTAGACTAACTACATAGTGAAACCTTGTCTTAAAACACACACACACACACACACACACACACACACACACACACA